TTCAGAACAATGGTGAGGTCATTAGAAGGGAGGGTTCAGAGTGAAACAACTGGGCACATTCAATTTATGAAAGAGGAGGTTGGTTTGGTGGGGGGGGGGGATGGGGCAGGAACCATGTTGACAACTGAGGAGTGCTGGGGGAGGAAGACCTAAAATGGAGGAAGGGGGTGGGAGAGGAGACTGATACTATTGTTTTAGTCACACTCATTCATATTAACGTATTGTGTGTGATTGCGTGCATGCGTATTTGCGTGACTGTTTTGGGCCTTGGAGACATAATTATTGTGCTTTATAATGTTGCTGTCTTTTGGTATTTGTTGTATTTTTTATTCAGAAATCTCTAAGTATGTCTTTCTGTATGAAATTTGTATCTGTTTGAGTGTGGGTTTTCCTATTTCGTACATGTTTGTCACAGCGCATGATCATTGTTGACTGTCAAATGCATTACTCTCTTACAAAAGGAAAAACGGTAAATATTTGTTATTCCTTTATTTTCGGATTTAGGGAGTTAAAAATTCCGGAAGACAGACAGACAGACAGACAGACAGACAGGCAGACAGACAGACAGACAGACAGACAGACAGACAGACAGACAGACAGACAGACAGACAGACCGATAGAGAAATGTGTTTGTTTTTTGTATATTATGTATGTGTGAGAGATAGATAGATAGATAGATAGAGAGAGAGAGAGAGAGAGAGAGAGAGAGAGAGAGAGAGAGAGAGAGAAGGAGTGAGTGAAAGATGAAAGCGCCAGCTGAAGGTCAAAGACAATAAGGAACATCAAGAGGAGTCCGAGTTTTTCCACCTCCTGTTCTAAACTGCTCACGACTCAATAAGTGCTCAAGTCTGTCAAGTGATTTGTGTTCTGTTTACTATGGGATACTCATACCCAACGAGGTAGTGAGAACCAGTATGAACTGGAAACACCAAGGGGCCGTAAGAAGACTTTCTGACTGCAGTGAAAGGACGTACGTAGAAGTCGCACAGGCACGTCACTAGAATAATCTAAAAGTGCTTATAAAAAAAAGAAGGGTCGTGTAATTCAAACTGACGCCGTTTATTATGTAGTAAGGTTATCCCAATGGCCTCCTCTCGGGAAGCAAGCGTCACAATCTCAAAAAGTTTATCGCAAACTCCCAAACAAACTTGAATCCGGAAGTGGGTGGTTGGAGGGCGCCATTGGTATGCCCTACTTCTTTACTTTCCCTGTGTTGTTTCTGTCTGTCTGTCTTACTTTTTCCCAGCACTAAATGACCATTGTTTTGTCGATGTGCATCTCTTTACGATTCCGGGTCGTATTTTGATTCCCAAGACTTAACAGTATAGTGGGAAAGACATTAACCAAGTCATTAAGCCAAGCACCAGTCGCGCTATAGTAGAGAGCGCACGGTGACTTTCTCCCCGTGTTAATCGAAAGTAGATCTACGTCAGAGTTTACATGTTGCTATGGGACTAAAGGCTAGCTCGACAACCTTCGGCAGCACTGGACCCTACATGATTTAAACAAACATAGGGAAGATCTAGTTGTAAGTACGAGTGGTGACCAAATATCCAGAATTGTTCTGTATCTGGTAATGCTTTTGCCTCAAGACTAGAGTAAACACAACAAAGAGACACTCAAAATGGCAAGTACTAATTGTGCCATGAAGCAAAGATCGAATCCATCTTTAGTTGGAGGTAACAAACAACTAACCAAAGGCTAATGCAATGATGAGTCAAATCAATATAATCAACAACAACTTGTGCGGATTCTAAAATGTCGAAATCGTTTTAGAAATTGTACTCGACCTCAGTTTAATCGTTTCTGTCTGGAATATGAGATACATGTATGTCTTAACTAGACTTGATTTTCGGCGATTTGGCTATTTCTCTTCCTTGGGCGATGATAAGTTCTGACTCGATGGAATAATATAGTAAATGTAGTCTTTGTTTGCTTAATATGGCTTAAGAATCGTCGTCATTCTTATCCTCTGTGCGATCTAGTTCAAAATAGTATCCTCTATTGATTGCTTTTTGAGCATGCCTTATCGCACGGTACAAATTTTCATCATCTAATTAAATTTTAATTTCACTATGACGCAGTGCCAGTGTGTGCGAGAAAAAGGCGGAAGAGAGAAGGAGTACGGGACAACAATGGAAAAAAGAAAATGAATACTGTGCTCTTAGCGTTATTAAGACATAAAAAGAATAGATGTTAGTGGACGACGGAAATTATAATAGAAAGAGATCGTGTATTGAAACAGCCTCAGTCTTTCAATCTGCATATATTTTTCATTAAGCAAAGTTAACAGGGCTTTGGGAAAGCAGAAGGCGTAGACTAATTGCAGGTATTTATTTAGTGTACAGCATCAACGAGGTATTGTCGACGTGCACGGAATTCAGAAGTCAATAAAGTATGTGTGAGTGCCACTCTTCATGCGCTGGCGTCTCTGTGTGTAATGTAAGTGCAGGAGTGTGTATTTGTCTTTGTATGTGTGTGCTTTTACTAACACTATTGAAAAGAGAATGAGTGTAAATGTATTTCATAATGTAAACGTTTGTGTGGGCTGTTGCTGAGTGTTATGTGAATGTGTGTGTGTATGTGTGTGTGTGTGTGTGTGTGTGTGTGTGTGTGTGTGTCTGTGTCTGTGTCTGTGGTTGTGTTTGAGAGAGACAGAGAGAGGGAGAAGGAGAGAAAGAGAGAGAGAGAGAGAGTGTGCGTGTGTGTGTGTGTGTGTGTGTGTGTGTGTGTGTGTGTGTGTGTGTGTGTGTGTGTGTTTGAGAGAGACAGAGAGAGGGAGAAGGAGAGAAAGAGGGAGAGAGAGAGAGTGTGTGTGTTTGTGTGTGTGTGTGTGTGTGTGTGTGTGTGTGTGTGTGTGTGTGTGTGTGTGTGTGTGTGTGTGTGTGTGTATTGGGGGGGGGTATGACTGTATGTGTGTCTAGAGAAAAAGGTAGCAAAACCATGTGTCTGAATGTCTCTAGGCTTGTTTAAGAAAGATGATGTAAATATATTGGAAACTTCATATTTATACTAGGGCTGTCCCACGGAAAACCGGAATTTGGCTGTAATTTGAAAACTATTCAATATTTTCACATTCTGTAAACGCACACTAATAAAACAGTCGTTTAGGAATTTCCATATTGAGCACCATGAGCATTGCACAAACAAAACGTACGCAGCAGTTCTCCAAAGTTGGCTACCTCTTTGTAAAATTGATCAAGGGTAGAAGTGAGGTATGTCATTCCGTTTCTGACTGCAAAAGGTCTCAGACCTATTGAAATACACACTGAAATAAAGTCAATTTACGGGGAGAAAGTAATAGTAAAGTCACAAGTATATGAGTGATGTAGTAAGTAAGTTTAAAGCCAAGCGTACGGACGTCAATGACAAAGTTCACCCAGGACCTTGTTTATCTGCCATGACTGAGGACAACAAGAGTCGCGTTAACGAACTCATTCAAACAGACAGGCGCCTAAAAATTCGCAATATTTCCGAGTCGCTAAACTTTTCAAAGTCGACTGTCAATAGGATAGTGTTTGATGAGCTGCATTATCGAAAGGTCTCTGCTCGATGGGTCCCAAAAGAGCTGACAGCTGACCTCAAGACACAACGTGTTGAAGTGTCTCAGAGTTTGTTGAACCGTTGTCGCCAAGCTGTCGCAGGAGTCATGAACGCATCTGGAGGCCTCCAACAATACGATGAAGCATTCCTGAGAAGCAATATCACAGGTGATGAGACTTGAATACACCACATGACCCAGACGAAGAGGGATTCATAAAAAATATAAAATAAGATCTGCCCCAACAATTTCCATTTTCAAAAATCAGCTGAAGCATTTTTTATTCACAAAAGCATACATGTCATTATGATGTACTGTGATATATATGCATGTGTATGCCAGACTGTGAGACTGAAGAAATAGCGAGTGAGAATGAGAGAGAGAAAAAGAGAGAGATAGAGAGAGAAAAGAGAGAGAAAAGGGAGAGATAGCGAGAGAGAGATAGAGGGAGAGGGAGAGAGAGAGGGGGGGAGAGAGAGAGAGACAGAGAGAGAGAGAGAGAGAGAGAGAGAGAGAGAGAGAGAGAGAGAGAGAGAGAGAGAGAGCGGAAATGTTTTTCTATCTGTATAGAATTAATGTTTTAATGAATGTTTCTAGTTACTCACGTTTCAACTGTATTTTGACTGTTCGTGAATTTATATTGCATTGTATATTTTTAGTGAACACATTTTCAACCTCACTGCGAGACTATTTTTCTGGTATAAAATTTTACACATATGCATTTATATTATATGTATAATACTTTGTTTTACGTACACATTTGTGTCGATTAATTTTTAAGATGTGATGTCTTTTTCATTGTAATGCGCATTG